AACAAGGAAGCAAAAGTCCACCGATGTTATTATAGGATTATATTCTACAATACTAGAGCTACTTAGAAAAACCTTGTTTGATGAAAAAGATGATGTTCGTATTTTTTAAATGTACTTTAAAAATTGTAATATTTTGTTATTTTCGGAATAATAGCAAACTTTGAATACACATATCTTTGGTCCTAAATAAGCTGGCGAGGTGGGCGGAGTCGCAAATAAAAGCTCTTTTCAATGCAACCAAAAAAATATCTTGTAATTTTTCATAAATGTCAAACTCGAACGAGAAACGAGGTGGTAACTGGACGAGACGATTGATACGGAACTTGAGGCTGTGGCTCGGAAGGAAATTTGGTGATGTAAATTTCTACGTCACCCAGATCTTGACGGGCCACGGGTACTTCCGACGGTACCTCTACAATATAAACAGATTACGAACACCCGATTGTAAGTACTGTGGACACGAACGAGACGATGCGGAACACACGTTTTTCGCGTGTGACCGCTGGACAAGACTCAGACAGGAACTGGAAGAAACGGTCGGCAGCATCACTCCTGATAACATCGTGGCTCACCTGCTGCATGAACCCGAATGGTGGCGCTTAGTCGCTACCTATACGAAAACTATACTGAGACGTAAGAACGCGGACGGTTGCCTGACAGATGACTGAGCAGACAAAGTGACGCGACGTAACGAAATATGGAGGAACGACGCGAGCGGACGAACACAGACAGAACTTCCAGTCAGAAGTAATATCAACATAGTCCCTGGCTGGGGGGAAGAACATCAAGGAGATGGCGGTTTAGTGGGTAGGCCTATCTTTTTTATTTTCGGGGAGTCCCACATAATCCCTCAGTCAGAAAGACTAAGGGGAATCCGCAACTCCTTGTAAAAAAAATAATAATAATAATAATAATAATAATATATTATAATGATTGACAAATTTGAGTACAAAAAAAACTTACCCTGCCGACCGTAAATTCACTGACATACTTCTGAATTTATGTCTTGCCGTATACTAAATACACAATTCTTTTGGAACTGCTATTGTTCAACATAAACTTAAATAAGTCATATTTTGCTCTTATTCTAATAACGGTAGAACTTTAGACTACGTCCGCAAAAGCTATGATCTCTCTATAAAAAAAGGCAGATATTAAAAACACTGAAAATTATAAGTTAAATATTACATCAGGCAAGCAAAAAACATCTTATGTTTTTTCGTCTTTGTCCATCAGAAAACCAAATTGTGTATCGCTTTTGTAGGGTAACATTTCAGCACGTCCTTCCGCATCCATTACTAATAAAATTGCGAAAAGATTCACTATTAAATATTGCACAAGTGTTCATCTCTTACTCATATTCAAAATCAGATGTATTTTTATATTATTATATAAATTAATATACAGGGTGAGTCATTTTAATCTATGGACCCCCATATTTCAAATTCTATGCATAGTACAGAAAAATTGTTCAGACAAAAGTTGCTCAATACCAAGGGAGCCATATTTTGGTAACCTTAAATTCGACCTTGAACATAACATCAAGGTTATTCTAAGGTCGATATTTTTTTAAATAGGAACCCTTACTTTTTATCTCGGATTCGGATTCTACGTTAAATTCTACGTTCAAATCTTGTAATATGTGTGTAGTTTAAATGACCCCCACCCCACCCCCAAAGTCATTTCGAGGTCAATCTTACATTTTAAATGGAACCCCTCATTTTTCGTCGCAGGTTTAAATTCTACGTGAAATTGTACGTTCAAATCATGTGATATATTCGGGGTCCAAATGATCCCCACCCCACCCCCAAAGTCATTTCAAGGTTGATCTTACTTTTTTAATGGAAACCCCTATTTCTCACACCAGATTTGGAAAAAGCGGGAAATTATTCGTCCGGAATAATATTCAAAGGTTTATTTTCATTACCTTCAGAGGTTTGATTCATGAGAAAAATTTTTAAAAATTGGATAGTAATTTTGTTAAGTTTTCTAATGAAGCAATCGCTGTAAAAGTATCTATTTGAAACATGTTAACTTAAGCGTGACACTGTTAACCTCGAAAGTAACTCAAATAAGAAAATATCGACTTGTCCCTTCCTCCTTTCCTTTTCCCATTCTCTTCTTTCCACTCCCTGCCTTACTCATCCTTCTCCCTACCCTACCTCTCGTATTATCTCGCTCCTCTTTTCCCCTCCCTCTCACTTCATGTAATTAGTCATATGAAACGGTTCACCGTGTTTGATTTGAGAGATGAATAAATTGAAAATTATTGGTTTTATCTTAAAGAACTTAAGATTTAATTAAATTTATTTAATTTTAATTTCAATGCAAAAAAGTGTAGACATAAATATCTACTAGTTATTCATTGCAAAATCATAAATTCCGAGGAATGAAAAATTCTCCAGTAACATTGTTAATACGCAAAGTCATGCATAATACTTTCATGATTGTAAACTAGAAAGTTTTTGCTTCGTATTACTTTTTCTAAAATCTTGTATTCATTACTAAAACTTGATTAGATTATTACATATGTAAGTTAAGGTTTTATGTCCTTGAGTTATTTTGTGGACGCATACTCAATAGAGATGGCAGATTATACGCCTACTAAAATTGTCAATATAATAATGATTTTAGGGGAATGTCATAACAATTATGCAGCTGCATTGAGACTGTACGCTAAACGGTACCGAGACCGAAGACATCCTACTGATATGACAATAAGAATCTTGTCTGAAAGAGCACGTACCGGACAGCTGGTGCGCCAACGCCGACGTCATTAATACGACGATAATGACGTGCGCGTATTGGTTGTTTTAGCAGCTGTTCATCTTGATCCACACATTAGTACCAGGCAGATTGAAAGACAAACAGGAATACCGCAACATACAGTCTCAAGAATTTTAAGAGTCCATCGCTTACACGTTTATCATATTACTCTGACGCAAGCCTTGAGACCACATCATCTTTTGGCGCGTGTTATTTCTGTTAATCGGCTTTAGAAATGATAGAAAATGAGTCTCATTTTTTATTATTTTATTATTTTTTATGTACTTTTCTCAGATGAAGCTATATTTCACAGCGATGGATAGCTCAATAGGCATAACTGTCACTATTGGTCGGACGAAAATCCCTACTGGTATAGAGCTTTGGACCATCAGAATCGATGGAGTCAAATGGTATAGTGTGGAGTAGTAAATGTCTATTTGATTGGGCCCTATTTTTTTGACGGAAACATTGATAGCCATACTTATAGTTTCTACGGGATTACCTACCGAGACTTTTAGAAGACGTTGTCTTAGCAACGCGAGTGAGAATGTGGTTTCAACATGATGGTGCTCCAGCACATTTTGCGTCAGGTTTTAAATGAAAACTACAATGGCAGATAGATTGAACGACAAGACACAGTTGAATAGCCTACTTGCTCTCCTGATCTGACATCGCCTGATTTTTATTTGTGGGGATACTAAAAAAATGTTTATGTTATAAAGCCCACGACCATGGACAATATAAGGTATAGAATTCGAATAGCTTGTGAAGTCATCTCTCTAGCGATGTTGCTTAAAATTGTGGATACTTTTGAAAGACGAATACGATTGTGTATTGAAAACAACGGAGGAAACTTTGAACAGTTTATCCGTGGCTAATGAAATCAATTGTGTTAAACGTGAGAGGCAAGGGGACTCACGTTAAACAAGCACCCCGATCGTGAGAGTCAACCCTTTAATAACGCTTCTCAATAATCACTTAATAATCTCTCAATAATACCTCAATAACCCCTCAATAACCTCTCAATATGTCTTAGAAAACTACTTTTACTACGACTGCTTCGTCAGAAAATTTGAAAAAATTATTATCCTACTTTTTAAAATTTTGCTCTTGAGATGACCCTCGGAAGGACACGAAAATAAACCTTTAAATATTATTCCGGACGAACAATTTCCCGCGTTTCCCAAATTCGATGTGAGAAGTAGGGCTTTCCATTAAAAAGTAAGGTTGACCTCGAAATGACGGGGTGGGGTGGGGGTCATTGGGACCTCACATATAATTTGAACGTAGAATTTAACGCAGAATCCGAATCCGAGATAAAAAGTAAGGGTTCCTATTTAAAAAAAAAACATTGACCTTGGAAACAATGACCTTGACCCATCATGTTCAAAGTCAAATTTAAGGTCACCAAAATATTGACCCCTTGGTATTGAGCAACTTTTGTCTGAACTATTTTTTTGTACTATGCATAGAATTTGAGATATGGGGGTCCATAGATTAAAATTACTCACCCTGTATATTATATAAATTATTTTACCACAGTATTTATTTAACAATGCTTAGAATAATATATGTTTTTAGAAAATATTCTCACGTACGCCAAAAAAGTAACATGTATAAATAAAATTTCTGAATTAACTTACTTTATGTTTCAATTAAGTCTTAAAAATAAGTAGTAAAGTCATGAATAATAATCGATATTGGACACTGAAGAAAAAATCCGGCTTTCGGTTGACTAGACTGTGCGACTGCGTGCTGATTGCGTGCTCAATTAACTTAATTATGAGACTGTTACATATATTTAATACAATACAATGGTGCTTATGTGCCACGTTCACGTAACCAACTTTCAGTCAATCAAATCTCGAATGAAATAATTTTATTTTACAGGTCATCATTTTTTGTATAGAGGATCTGCGAAGTCAATAAATCTTCTTCTTACTATGTTTCCTTTCAAAAGCTCATTTTTTCTCATCGAATTAGATTACGATCTTCGCGATGTATAGAATTCGCAAATGAGCTCCAAGTATATAAAACAATAACGACTAATTAACGATTAGTCTTATAATAATTAACTCAAAATTGGTCATATTAATAAAGGCGTTATACATTCTAAAATTTCCTTCGTTCAATTTTTACTAATTACATTGCACGTGTTTATTTTCTAATAAGATATCGACATGCAAACTAATTTTATTTTAAAATATTTTTATCTATATCAACATATTTTTCAGCTCGATTACCGACTAAGAATACTAATGCAGTGAAATGTGATATTGGAATGGCATCGATTCTTCCTGCAAATTATCCATACTCGACGCCTATAAATCCTACTGGTTTATGTGGATTTCAACCAACTGGTGGTGCCTTTATCACAATGCCAATATCTCCAAAAGTAATCAAACCAATTGCAATTCAGCACACAGGAAAATTAGTTTTATCTAAAAATATTAGTAAACAAAGTAATACGTTACAAGATGACAAACAGAAGTATTCTAATTACATACAATCACCACCAAATTCCTTTAAAAAATTTGCTAATAATATTGATGAAGATATTGAAATAATATCAAATAAATCAGCATTGCCGCCTGTTACGGATTCTACTATTACCCAACAGTATCACAAAAAAATAGCATTACAATCGAAAATTGATTCGGATATTGATACGTTAATATGTGGTAAATATTAAAATATCTTTAACCTAATCTCTTCTAGCAGTAGTGATATTAAGCAATAATTTCAATGACGTTTTAGATGATAATCAAGAAAATTTAAGAAAAAATCTCACGAATATGAAAACTGACTCAAACAGTGTAATAGTTAGTAAAATTTCTGAAACAATTACACGAACATCTGATCATAATCAGTATATAAGATGCTCATCAATGGTTGCTGAACGAGAACCTTTCATCGAAACTTCGTTAGAATCTTTAAAAGGTAAGTTCACTTAATATTCGGTATAATAAAGTAATGTTATTTATTAATTTCTTTTATTCTATTATTACAATATACAGGGTGTCCCATTTTAAACAAACCACCCAGAAATTTTCGACAGTTCGCGTTGTACTAAAAAATTGTTCAAACAAAAGTTTTTCAAGATGATGAGTGCCATTTTTCTATTAAAATAGTTTTGATCTTGAGATTTATTTTCAAGGTCATTTGAAGGTCGAAGTAATTTTCTCAATTGGAACCCCTATTTTTTATCCTGGATTCGAAGAAAGCGAGAAATTTTATTTTCAAACAATGTATTATATTCTAGGTTCGGTTGATCCCCTAAAATCATGTAGAGGTCTTTATTATTTTTTTTTATCTGTGCACGCAAATAATCGAGCAAGGGTAAGGTTTAGCCAGTTGTTTAACAGTTGTTTAATTTTAAGGTAGTTATGTTGTATTTGTTGTGGTATTTGGAAGGTTATATCAAGATCAAATTTCGGACGTACAAGGATACGAGTACGGATACGGGAGGCAAGATGCTGTGCTGCAACGGTGACAATGTCTTTACTACCCTGAACTCGCTCTATACCTATTAAATAAATAACAAGTTACAAGCACGGAAATCACAGAAATGAATACACATTGAATTTTATGTTCCAATGTACTATATCTTATTTATTTATGATCTAAATCATTTATTTAATTACATGATATGGTAACGAGATTTAATCCTAAATCGACACATAACAGCCAATTTTATTATTTCCAATACCAGTTCACACAATTATAACATAATCTCCGTGCTACACACAGACACTTTTAAGTCTGATGAAGTGTGCGTGCTTCTCATTCGGCTGGTTATTACTCGTAATATGATTTGCTAAGGATTTGCCGAAATCGAAAAAAGGATTAAGAGGTGTTATGGCTCTGTTCACTGGACGGTTGACTTTCTCTGACTGAGGATAGCAAAGCGATCAGTGGTAGCTTGTTAACTCCCGGCCTTCTTCTGCAACATCATCTTGCTGTCGGCTCCTTCATCTCAACGAAGTTAGCCATGGTTTAAGGCGAGTTCCATCGAGAAAACACCAGCAGGCAGCTATCGCTTCACCCTCGCTAGCGGAATCTAAGTATTGCCTTCGGAGCGTGCGTAACTCTGTCATAATCTTTATCGTTAGATTTCGCATTAATTCTCTACTATTAATGCTGATTAGTAGGAGACAATTAATGCAGAATGTCTCTTCTATTCGTTGCCATAATGTAAATAGCGGTAAATCTGGAGCCTATTATGTGCTTTCGATGGTTCTTTCGTGTAATTGTGTGCATTGATATTGGAAATAATAAAATTGGTTGTTATAATATTCATATTCATATTCATGACGACGGTTACACAGCTAATGAAAGTAAGGTATCGATTACCCAGCTAATGAAGAGAAGTTAGGAATATCCAACGGATAAAGGCAAGACGTTGACTATCTAGTAAGTTATGATTAAGGTAACGCTTATCTTATAAGGTGCTCAAAAATACTCCTGTTCAAGTTTATGCAATGTTGAATTCTACGTTCTAAGTTTTCAACTATGAACAACAAAACGTGTCCAGGAAAAGCTCTATAAGCTTGTGTGATGCGTTGCATCATGTCTTGTCGTGTTATTGGTTACTGTGCATAAACAATGTTATTCAAGTAGCCCCATAAAAAAAAACTAGGCTTGTCAGATCCGGTAATCTTGGACACCACTCAATAATGTGATTACTAATACCTATTCATCGTCTTCGGAATCTTTGATCTTTCGGTATTCAGGAAGCGATGAATCATTAATGAGCGATGACACGGTTGACCATCATGTTGTAGCTATAATCGTCGTTTTGTTTCTGGGTCCACATTTTCCAATAATTGCGGTAATTCATTCTGTAGGAATACGTAATATACTGTCTTGATTTCCTTATAGTTTTCTCAAATGATAAAATTTCTAATAATGGAAAGAAGGAAAATAGTGAGAGCTGGAAATTCACTAAATTTTAATTATATTCAGCAACGTTTCGTCAGCACATTTGCTGACCTCTTAAGTTTTTATTAACAGAAAAACAACAAATTATTAACAATAAAGTTGCAAATTTAATTTGAATGGCATAGAATTATATGTATATGTGTGTACCTGATTTCTCTCGTAGTCAAATTATTATAGGCTAAAACAAATAGCTCGTAGCCAGTCACGTTACAATGCAGTAAGAAATCAAGTATTTCAACACACATATATATATATTCTTCATCTATCATCCCTTCCTCATCGATCTTAATAAAGACTTATAAATATGACTAAGATATTCTATATCCTCTTTTCTATTTAAAGTGTTTTTATGTAAGCCGATGTGCAACATTTCGGAATTTCTGCGTTTCTTGTGATTTTTTCATAATCCAATATCTTAGCTTTATCCCAGTCAGATTTTTGTGAGAGAGTTCTTCTAAGTGTACGTAGCTACTACTGTATCTGAGACAATGTTTTTTTTGTGTTCATTTAATCTAACTTTCAAGGATCGCTTACTTTTACCTATGTAGACCACTGAACATAGTTTGCAGTTAAAACTGTAGACAATACCAGTCTAATAAATCAGATTTGTCTTTTCCTAAACGAGTGAACTCTTGTAATGGTTTTTGTAATAAAGGGATTGGAGTAATGTCATGTTTTTTAAACACAGAAGAACATTGTTTAAAGATGTTGCAATTATTTGGAATAGTGACTGTAGGTAGTTTTTGATTTATTAATTTTTTAGAATTATTCTTCCCTTTTTTATATTTGTTAATCCGTTTGTGTATGTAATTTTTAGAAAAAAATTTTTATTTTATAACATATATTTCGTGTTCAACAAAATTTATTATAAACAAATACTTGGAAGCCAGATGGGCTCCCCCCTCTCTTCTTTATTGGCTGATATTGTAATAGAAGACTTAGAGAAACACTGCCTGAACGTATTGTGGAATAAATATCAAATTACTCCTGTTTTCTACTATAGATATGTTGGTGATACTTTGATGTGCGTTCCGAAAGATAAAATTGATTAAGTTGTCGAGACGTTTAATTCTTATCATAATAGATTACAATTTACGTTTGAAATTGAAATGAATTTTATTCCATTTCTTGGCTTAAAATTGATCAGAAATAATAATAAATTAGAATTTGACTAGTTCAAAAAAAACAACACAAACTGACAAAATTTTGAATTTGAACTCAGAACATATAATTCATCAAAAAGTTAATATTGTTTCAAATTTAGTTGTCCGGGTGTTTTTACTTGCTAACAAAAAATTTCGTTCACGCAATTTAAAAATAGGTACTAATATCCTGAAAAAGAATAATTATCTATCTGAATTTATCAAAAAACACATACACAAACGGATTAACAGATATAAAAAAGGGAAGAATAATTCTAAAAAGTTAATAAATCAAAAACTACCTACAGTCACTATTCCAAATAATTGCAACATCTTTAAAAAATGTTCTTCTGTATTAAAAAAACATGACATTACTCCAATCCCTTTATTATAAAAACCATTACAAGAGTTCATTCGTTTAGGAAAAGACAAATCTGATTTATTAGACTGGTATTATATACAGTTTTAACTGCAAACAATGTTCAGCGGTCTACATAGGTAAAAGTAAGCGATCCTTAAAAGTTAGATTAAATGAATACAAAAAAAACATTGACTCAGATACAGTAGTAGCTACGTACACATAGAAGAACTCTCTCACAAAAATTTGACTCGGATAAAGCTAAGATATTGGATTATGAAAAAATCACAAGAAACGCAGAAATTTCGAAATGTTGCACATCGACTTACATAAAAACATTTTAAATAGCAAAGAGGATATACAATATCTTAGTCATATTTATAAGCCTTTATTAAGATCAATAAGAAAGGAATGATAGATGAAGAATATATATATATATATATATGTGTACTGAAATACTTGATTTCTTACTGTATTGTAATGTGGCTGGCACGTGCTGTTCGTTTTAGCCTATAATTATTTGATTACGAGAAAAATCAGGTACACACATATACATATAATTTGCCTGTAAAATTACATTTGCAACTTTATTGTTGATAATTTGTTATTTTTCTGTTAATAAAGCCTAAAGAGGTCAGCAAATGTGCTGACGAAACGTTGCTGAATATAATTAAAATTAAGTGAATTTCCATCTCACTATTTTCCTTCTTTCCATTATTACAAAATTTATCATTTAAGAAAACTATAAAGGAATTAAGACAGTATGTTACGTATGTAGCTAATTAATATAAGACGTTATTTTCCAAGTCCATTAATGACATATACTCCGATATTTCCACATTGCGTACTATTTCGATGTACATACGTAATATAAAGATCAACATGTACCGAATACATTTTAGTATCAGACAGTGTTATAGCAGTTTTTACGCAGTAAAAAAATTAGCTTAGAACAGAAAATCATTTTGAAGTTTTATGAAGGAACAAGGAAGTGATAGCCAAGGAAACGAATAAAATGGAAAGAATTGAAAATTAACTAAGCATAGATTAATATACTATATCATTATTATAATTTTCTAGGAATAATAAATGGACAAACATTCTACTGAAATTAGGCAAACCAATGTAAGTACTCGTACCATTTCTAATTTCTCTACTCATTTTTCTTTAATTAGGTTTTCGTTTATTAGGTTATTAACAATTTCAATTTATAATATTAATCGGTAATTTTTATTGTCATAGAAATAAAGTCAATAATAATTACAATTCTTAGATTACGTCGTCACAAGATATAGTATGTATTTCATGTTCATAAGATTTAAAATTTACTCAATTTGAAATATATTTTTCAAAATATTATAACAAACGGCTTGTAGTTCGTTTTGTCTCTCTCCCTTCACGAAGCCAGTAATAAATATATCTATAATATTGCCATGTATTTATTTGTATAAGATGTTTGCAGCGCAGATGTCAGCGAACCGGTAAGTGATGCGTCAATC